CTTCAGGCTTTAGGCGAAGTTCGCGAGCTTAAGCTCACCTGTTCGCCTGACGCTGAAGCTTCAGGCTTCAGGCGAAGCGCGAAGCTAAAAGCTTCAGAGCTTCAAGGCTAAAGCTTCGGGCTTCAACAGCTACACGAAACGCGAGCCAAGCAAAGCACTTAGAAAATGAAGCTTCGCAGACAACCATAGGTTGCACCATTTTTGCTGACCCATCTCGACATATTCAACCTCCCACCCTGTTCAGCTTCTACACCCGGAGCCCGATATGGGCTGGTTCGCTTTTGGGGCTCAGGTTTAAGAAGAGCACGGGTTGCACACCCGCGAAGCATACCCCGAAACATACCCACAAAACACACCATGATCCCAACAGTGTCGCCCCCCCCCCCCCCCCATTCGAGCAACAAAACAGAACCCTATCTGTTAGCAAAGTCAATGGAGCGCCTTGAGAAGTGGCAACATCTCCCACAGCTCCAAAACGGCCGCTGTGTGACGCTTCCCTTAAATGGACCGCAGAAAAAATCAATCGTGTTTAGGATTTGGGGTAAAGGGCTTGGGGTTTCGTTTTTTTTTGTGGTGTGTTGTGTGTTGTGTGTGGTTTTGTGTGTGTGGTTTGTGTGTGTTTGGTGGATGTTTTGTGTGGTGTGTTGTGGGTTTTGTGTGTGTTTGTTGTTGTGTTTGTGTGTGGTGTTTGTGTTTGGTGTTGGTTTGTGTGTGTGTTGTTTTGTGTGTGTGTGTGTGTTGTGTTTTGTGTGTGTTGGGTGTGTGGTGTGTGTTGTTGCGTGTTGGTGTTTTGTTTGTGTGCTGTGTGTGCTGTGTGTGCTGTGTGTGCTGTGTGTGCTGTGTGTGCTGTGTGTGCTGTGTGTGCTGTGTGTGCTGTGTGTGCTGTGTGTGCTGTGTGTGCTGTGTGTGCTGTGTGTGCTGTGTGTGCTGTGTGTGGTGTGTGTGTGTGTGTGTGGTGTTTGTGTGTGTGTGTGTGTGTTTGTGTGGTGTGTGTGTGTGTGTGTGTGTGTGTGTGTGTGTTTGTGTGGTGTGTGTTTGTGTGGTGTGTGTGTGTGTGTGTGCGTGCGTGTGTGTGGTTTTGTGTGGGTGGTTGTGTGTGGGTGGGTGTGGTGTGTTGTGTGTGTGTGTGTGTGTGTGTGTGTGTGTGTGTGGGTGTGGTGGGTGTGGTGTGTGGGTGTGTTGTGTTGTTGTGTGTGGTTTTGGTTTGTGTGGTTTTGTGTGTGTTTGTTTTGTGTTTGTGTGTGTTTGTGTGTGTTGTGTTTGTGTGTGTGTTTTGTGGTGTGGTGGTGTGTGGTGTGTGTCTGTGTGTGTGTTTGTGTGTGTTTGTGTGTGTTTGTGTGTGTTTGTGTGTGTGTGTGTGTGTGTTTGTGTGTGCTTGTGTGTGTTTGTGTGTGTTTGTGCGTGTTTGTGCGTGTTTGTGCGTTTGTGCGTTTGTGTTTTTGTGTGTTTGTGTGTTTGTGTGTTTGTGTGTTTGTGTGTTTGCGTGTTTGCGTGTTTGCGTGTTTGTGTGTGTGTGTGTGTGTGTGTGTGGGTGTGGGTGTGGGTGTGTGTGTGTGTGTGTGTGTTTGCACGCATATACATCTCTACATCTATACGTCCACATCTATGCTGCATCTATATCTGCCTCTATTCTGCCTCTATATCTCCTAGATACCGAACCTGAGCCCCTTTATGTAACGTGGGATCCCCAAGCCTGGTGCTTTCAGGCCCTAAACCCTCAACCCTCAACGCCACCCCTTACCACCAGGAGCCCTGAACTAGGAACCCCTAAACCCTAATCCCTTGCCCCTAAACACCCTAACCCCTGAATAGCAGAGGAGCCTTGAACCAGAAACCCCTCAACCCTCAACCCTAAGCACCCTACCCCTAATTAGCAGGAGCTCTGAACCAGGAGCCCTTAGACCCTAAACACCCTGCCCCCAATCACCAGGAGCCCTGAACCAGGAGCCCCAAAGGAGGTGCCCTGGGGAGTGCCTGGCTGCCCTGAGATGCAGCGTTTCCCTTTCGGCCAAGGCCATGGGATCGGCCCGGAGCGGGTTTTACAGGACGTTGTGCGTTGTTTGCAAAATGGTTCTTATGGGGGGTGGGGGGGGGGGGGGTTGCAGCTTGTGAACACATGTTTATATGTTTGTATGTATATATGTATGAATAAATCAAGAAGTAGCAATAAACAGTGCATGCATATAATCAAAGATGTATGTGTATATGCGCATGTACATGTATATATAGATGCATATATATATATGCATATATATATATACGGTTATTTCCTTATTGGTGGTCTTTCTAAAATAGTAATAGCAATAACAAATAATAGTTGCAAAAATAACAACAATAATAGTAACAATAATCGAATATAACAGCATACCCTGTTGAGCTAAGAACATCTAATTTCGTAGTTCATTAGTATATATGCAATACACTCAAGAAGTTTTATACCGCTGTGAATAATGTAAGCACACATAATTCACTCTCCTGCCATGTAATCATATCGGATATCTTCTGTATAATCCGTCATAATGTCAGGTAATGTATTGCATTACACAACGTATAGTGGCTAAATAGCAATACATGTATACATACGTATATATATATATATACATATATACCTATGTATATATACAGAGTATCTGCAATCTAGTAAGTAATGTGCTATACATAATGTATGTTTCGCCTCGCAGAATGGTTAATACATCGCTACATGTAATGATACTCATGGAGAACAAGAACAGTAATAATGATACTAATGGTAAAGAACAATAACACACATGTATGTACGTACGTTGTGGCACATAAGGTGACGGGTTATCAGCCACCGTGGGCTGCTCATCCTTGCTCAAACCCTGAGGTATGGCAGTGTCAAATGGTCACAACTCACATGCCTGGCGTGAGTCAAGGCCTACGGTTCAGTAGCTAAAGCTTCTAAGGTTTTTGGGGCAACAGCCGGAGCCTGGGCCTACCATGGACGTTTTAATCAGGCTTTGCCATATAGAAAGTCCTTTCTAATTGCTTCCGATGCGGATAGTGGGCGAGGATAGACGAGGTTTGCTGGGCATGCGCAGTCAGAAGTCCGGACAGAGGCTCCGGAAACAAAAAGGAGTTTCTATTTGTAGCACTCATGTAATATAGGGGTCGGGATTATTACTAAAACACACTCCCTGGTGGTCCTTATATAAATATACTTACATATTCCCCAAAACCCTATTCTAAAACCCTATTCTAATTATTTAGGCCCCTATAGCAGTCAACTATTGTAATGCTTCTGGTATAGAATATGCCCCCAGAACTTGTCCGAAGTTGAGGCTTCGTCTATTGTTTCCAGCATGCGTGTGGCACTGAATAGCTAAAGTTAGAAGGTAGAGCCTACCTGAAGCGGCCCACATCCGACAGCTCACCGATCGTTCCGATGTGTACTCTGTACAGGCTGCTAGTAATTTAGTGTGAGGATCGCTCCTCTCCCCGGCACATCCCGGGCAATGTGCCTTCATCCCACACCCGAAACTGCAGGTGCCCGGGACATGCCCTGTTTAGTGAGGACCAGAGAGTGATCTCAACATGAGCTCTCAGCCAGGATCACACACGCAGACTAATATAGACTAATAGTCGAAAGGCCCTGTTTACCTAAACCCTAAAAGCTGAACCCAAGACCTGAACTGGGAGCAACCGAATTCGCGAAGACGCTCAAAGACCTGGCGTGGGAAGCGGGCCATCCTTTCGTAAGAAATTAGGGAGCTTAGGTTAGGGAGTATGGGTTTCTGGGCTTCTTCAGTTTAGGGGTGTTTGGGGTAGTTCTGAAATCGAGCTTCATGTATACAGCTTTTATTTGACAGGGACCCCAAAAAGGCAGAACACTCCCCCTAAAAAACATACATAGGTAAAACATGCAAGATGCAGAAGAAACGTATTATTTAGGGATGATTGGAGTGGAGATGATGTAGAGCCCCTTTGTAGTCGGGTAGCTTTACTTTTGCACAGCCACAGCTGCTTAACTTCTTAACAAAGACCCTAACTTCAAACCACCCTCAAAGAATACACAACTGGAGCACACATACACAATTGATTTGAAAAGGGAGTGCTGGCAATACTAACAACCAAAATAAGAACAGCAAGAAGAAAGATGACACCAGGAACAATACCAGCGATAAGGTTGACGGGTCAAGGTTCCGGCCACAGCTTTCTTCTTCGGGCCTTGCCCTAAGCCTTCTACACCCTCCTAAGAAGTTGAGACCTGCGTTTGGGGGCCATCGAATCCCGCCTAGATACAGCCTCAAAGCGCCGATCCCTAAACACCGGCTTTCAAAAGCCCCGAACCTCTTGAAGCCCTAGGTTGCACCTGGGATTTGCGAATTAGTCAGGAAGCTCACCATCCCCGATCCCGAGAATCACCCCGCAACCGCCTCGAACGCCAGTTTCGTCGCCATGCAACGAGCGGTCGTGAGCGGTACCATGTAGAAGCAGCGCGCAGCCGAAAGAGAGACAGATAGAAAAAGGCCATCAAAGCGCTAGGGAGGTCACGCTCTTTCTTTGCGGACGATTGAGGAGGGATTCTGGAGACTTTCCCTAAGTTCCCTGAGTTGAAGGGAGGTAGCAAGTGGGCCAGGTGGGCTCTTCAACAGATCTTTGAGGCTTTGCTCCCACGGAGTTGCAGCTCGCTGAGCCCTTTGAGCCATGGGTGTTTCCAGTGTTTCCATGCTGCGTTTTGCGTATCCCAAGAAACAGAGCCATGTCAGTTATACTAAGCTGCAGGCCCCTGAGCCCTCCCCGCTAGCGGTTGGAAACCTGAAGCCCCCTGAGCCCACCCTTCAAGCCTTAAGCCCGCAGAGAAAGAAGCAGAAAACCTAAGGGGTCTGAACGCCTTATAGCCATGGAATCCCAAAACTCGGCGGACCCTGATCCCCCTGAACACCTGAAATTTCTGTCACTCCCCACAAGCCCCGAAGCTTGGAAAGCCCCGGCTTCTCAACTTGGAATTCGCTTCGATGCCTTGATGCAGCTGGCCGATGGAGACGTGCGAGGCCAGTGCAGACAGAGAGGGAGAGGGAGCGAGAGAGAGAGAGAGAGAGACAGAGGAAGAGGGAGAGCATGCGCCATGGCTCGTTTAGCATTTGGGCTAAGCCCTTGTACCCGAAGAGCAACCCTAACAACCTAATACCCTAATACCCTCTACCCAAATACCAAGAACTGTAAACCTCCAAGCCTCGGCAGGAGGCCGCCGTACCTGCAGCCGAGGACGGGCCTTCTCTACCCGTGGCAGCGTGCTCCCCAACTCCACGAAGGGTTTAGAGAGCTGATGAGGTTTTATAGGGTTTCATTATAGGGTTTGTTTCAGATGGGGGCCCTTCAGACTGAGGGTGAACCAGAGCCGATTCGAGAGGGGTATCTCGCTACCCCCAAAGACCCCTCAAACCCAATGGGGTTGTATGGTTTAGTTTTCAGGGTGTAAGGTTTAGGTGTTTGCCCGGTAGGATAGAGAACAACAATGTTCTATATATATATATATATATATATATATATATATACCAGGGTAGGGGAGATGCACCTCAAATGCCAGCTTATGCCTCGAGACTCCACTTAGTGCACTGCGGGTTTCGGCATTACTAAGCCCGAGAGCCCCAAGCCCTGCACCCCGTAAGCCCTCAACCCTAAATCCTATAAACCCTCAACCCTAAACCCTCAAAAAGCTCTGAGGAGCCGGTCCTGGTAGAGCCCGTCGTGGTGGAGCCGGTGGCGGATCCAACCGTGGTCGAGTCCGTTGCGGAGGTGGTCACGACTAAGACACCACAAAGAACAGACGTAAACACATATGCAAGTGGATAGGCTTACAAATAGACATGCATGCAACACCATGTTATGTGGGGTTGGGGCTATGTTTAGGGTTGGGGGCTCAAGCACCACACCCCTTTCGTGTCACGCAGAGCCCGTACCCAGGCAAAATACAGCGGGTTATCCGTGTAGTTGGTGCTCCCAGTAAAGGTTCAGGTCGCCAGAAGCACGCAACCCACCTGCACAGATGGGGTCTGGAAGGGTCCCTGATCATAGACGTCTTTGCCTGTTTGAGGCTTGGGATATTGAGCCGGCAACTCAACCACTAGCAAGGCGGCACCCAAACCCAAATCGAAGTCAAAGGTATACAATCCCGTATGCCGAGCAAACCGACCAAACAGAAGAAGTAAAGCCGACATGGACACATTTTTCGAGGGAACCAATGCCGCACAAAGTCCGAACAACCATGAGCAAGGAAGCAATCGTTGACAGTGGGGTGCCTGTGTAAAGAGAAGAGCTCTTAAACTGCCCCTAAGACCTTTTCCCCCCTTTGAAGAAGGCTTGCTCCATGGATTCGTGCCGGTCGCCCCCTGCAAACTGCCCCAAACCCCGAAATTGCCTGCGAGGACCAGGCATCCCAGGGCGGTCCAGACCGGCCCGTGCCCCGGAAGGCCCAGTCTAAGTCTACTGGTTGTGATGCTAAAACACCTGCTAAGGTTTAAGGCTTGGGGTTTCGAGATTCGGCTTTACTATGCGCCAGCCCCCCCCCAGGGGTTTTTCCTCAGTCCCCTCAGTTCATGGTCTGCCCGCCGTGATTCATGGAGTGTTTGGGTTGAGGGTTCAGGGCCTTCGGTTTAGGGTTTCCCCTCTTCCCTGCTGTGGTTCGTGGTGGGTTATTTAGGTTTTAGGGCGGTCAGGGTTTGGGGGGGGCGAGAACGCGGACAGACCGTAGGTTTCCGCTATTGGCGTTCAGGGAAGAAGCCTGCAAACGAGCGCGCAGGGCAGCCCCCAGCCACCCGGGCCTGTCCCCTCCGCAGCACCTGCGGTGGCCGTGGCCGTGGCCTTGGGAACATTTTGCGGATTTTCGGGCTCACCGTGGTGTCAGGGTTTTGTAGCTCAGGGCTGAATGCTGAGTTGGGGTTGGATTGCGAGATGTTGAATGTGATTGCTTTGAGCTGAGAGTATCTTCTCTCAAAGTTCAGGGCTCGATGTTCAGGCCTGGCGTGGGTTGGCTGGTTGAGAGGCGTAGGGCGCGGCCTATGAACCCCAACCTTCCCGCGTCCCCTCCCCCCGTACTGAAGCCTTCTGAGTACCCAGGGGTTTCCCGACGTTCGCCCGTTTGTGCAGTCTGTGACCGAGCCCGAAGCCGGCGTTCCTGCAAGTTCCCCCCGTGGCGATCAGGGTATTGATTGGTGCATAGAACAGAATATACTGGTCGAGGCCGGTTGCCTTATCTGCCTTGAGGGTCCACTTCGAGTAAGCGGACCCTTTGGGTATGAATCCTCCATCCTGGGAGACTCCCGCAAGGCTTCCCGGTCACGCTTAGCGAAGCAGTCGCCGGGTTTCGGCGCCTCAGCTGATCTTTGTGAGCACGGGGGGACCTTTTTTTGCGGCAGCCCGAACCCTTATAAACAGACCCCAAACCCCGAGATGCAAACGGCAGGGCACTTCCAGGATGTGATCCAGGTCAAGGGGTCTTTTGGACCCAGGATAGGCCCTTGCTTGCCTTTTTGAGGGGGTTTAGGTTCCCCGAGAAGCCCTCAACAACCAAGAAGGCACCCTCTGTTATTCCTAGGTTACTCTTGGGTCTAGGTATGGGGGGGCTTAGGAGTAGGAGCTTTCATGAAGGCATGAGGCCATAGCTTTTCAACACCATACAGTACCGCAAGAGGCAACTCTTTTGTTAGGTTCTGGCAAGATCCTTCATGATTGGATTCTTAACGAACCAACCAAAGTAGGTTGTGACAAGACCCTGAGCACCAAACCGTAAACTTAACCCGACTCCCATAGACCCCCAAACCCTAACCCAAAGCCCCGAACCAAATAATAATACAAATCATCATAATCATAATCATCATAATCAAAATCAGAATAATCATCATCACAATCATCATAATCATCATAATAAGCATTATATGAATCATAAAAATCATAATAATCATAGTATTCATAGTAATCATAATAATCATAATAACCATAATAATCACAATAATCATAATAATCATAATAGTCATAATAACCATAATAAGCAGAATAATCAGAATAATCATCATCATAAGAATAATACTAGCCCCAAATCTAAAACCCAAGGACTTCCCCCCGCCAGGTGTCTTCGCGCGCGCCGCGGCTCAGGCCGCGGCCGAGACGCCGGTTCTGGACGACCCCTACTGGGCGCGCTGGGGGTGCATTCGGGGGCCCAGGGAGGCTGAGGGTTTAGGGTTTAGGGTTTAGGGTTAAGGGTCTAGGGTTTAGGGTCAGGGGATTCTTGTAGGCCCCCACAAGAAACATGAAACATCCCCCTAAACCCCCACCAAACCCTTGGAACCGATCTTGGGTGTTAACAGCTCGGTGAAGAGAGATGGAGTTGGGATTGATTTCGGATCTAATTTTGTGGGACCGGTATCTGGCTATTTTAAGGGGTCTTAAGGCCCTCTCTTGGTGAAGGGTTTGGGGGTAGTATAGGATCCCATATACAGACTTGGAAGAGGCGCAGAAGGGCCCCCAAAGATTCAAGTGCATCATTAGGGTTTAGGCTTTAGGGTTAGGTGGGTTCTACTTCTGAGCAGGCAAAGTAGAAGGTTTAGAGACTTTCAAAGAGCAGTTAGCCCCCAGGATCTAGAAAGTAGATCCTGATGAAGTGCCCACTGCCATGGTGGATGTTCGAGGAACCTTTCAGAGTGACCCTCAATCCTAAATCCGAAACCCTAACCCGGCGTCTGGGTCAAAGCCCCCTTTAAAAAATCCCGAGCCCCAATTTTATTAAGGCCCCTATATTATACCCTAGGCCAGACCCGAACAAGCGTTAATCATTTCGGTTCATTTCGACTAAGCCCCAGGTCTCTGGACTTAGAGTACACAGCATGATGCACATTCCTGAGATCCTAACAGTCTCTAAGGCCACCCCAAAACCCCAAGTCCCCTTTGTGCAAAGCCCGTGCAGTTGCCTCCGGAGCCCATCCCGCAGGCAGGGCTTACATTTGTTACATCGCTTCTGAGGGCTTAGAAAACCCTTTAGGGCTCAAGGATGTTCAGGGTTTGGAGCGGCGGATGGATGGCTCATGAGAGTCACCCCTCAAGCTTGAAAAAAGCCTTATAAACCTTAAGGTTTCGGGGATTTTTTTCGAGGCCTTGCTGTGTCCTACCCTACTTACCGAGGGAGCAATGTTTTGCTTACATGAGTCGCATTCGTTGTCCACACAACGGCCGATTTGGCTCGACCCCTGTTGCATTGAGGGGGGGGGGGGGTCTTCAAACCTCTCTTCTGAGGGACGCCGCCGCGGAGGTACAGTTTGTTACAGTTTGCTTTGAGATAAGGATTTTCACACACAGTTGCTTCTCAAGGTCCCACAAGTTTTCTGAGCTTGTGCGCCCTAAGCCCGGCAAGCCAATGTTTGGAACGTCCACTCCAGACCTGGCGCCGCCCATCTTCAGAGGGTAGGGTTGCTTTGCTAACACCCTAAGCTTAGCCTGGATTCGACTACACTCAAGTGCCGCATTGTTATGTCCGAGTGGACAAACACGAGTCTTACTGCTTCCGGCCCTCCGGAGGTCCAGGAAGAGGAGTCCAATGCCAGAGAGAGGCCGACATTGAGTGCCCTGAGAGGGGTCTTTGGTTTAGGGGTAGGCATTAGGTTTTTTCAAGAGTGTTAAAAGGCTCTAGAGTCGGAAAGCCCCCCAATCCCAAAATCCAGAAGTCGCTGCACGAGGACCAGCAGACGGATGTTTTCCGTCTCAGCTCACCATGCGGTTCAAACCACCCGAATGCCTCAATCCTCTCAGTCATTACGTTACCTCAACCCGCAACACTACAGCCAACTAAGCCTCCTCCACCACCGCCCCAAACGTGCCCTGTGCGTCCACCACCTCAAACTTGCCCTGCAACTCTTTCTTGAAGAGTTTGGCCTAACCAAAATTTGAACACTTCCATCAAAGTGGGCCGCCCTAAACCCCGGGTTTCGAGGCCCCAAGTGAAAGCCCTTAGCTGCCATCCAGGCTGCGCAAAGTGACCATCCTCGCTCTCAGCGAGGCCGAGGAAGGCGCGGTGGCTTTCCGGCTTCTGGGAAGGGCCCTGAAAAACGTTGAGTATCACCCAAATCATTGGTTGATGCAACCTTGTTGTTCTAAATATTTTCCTATCGTTACTGTGGTCGTATATAATCCTCTCTAAGCCTTCTAGGTTGCAAAACCCAAGTCTTTCTGACCCTGATCCCTTCAGCCTGAAAGCACTCTGAAGCAACAAGGGCCACCATCCACAGTCTCCCACTCTGCCGCGCGCCCCTGCCCCCCCCCCCTCCAGGTTGACATTCTTATGTAATACGAATGCTGCATAGGAGTCATATGAGGTATGGCGGTAGTTAATATTTGGAGGGAGTGCTGCAATGATGCATGTGCTGTCAGGCGTTGACCTCGCCACTTTCTCGGCCACATTGCAGCAGCTTCACCAGAATGCTTGGGGCCGAGTCCTGAAACCAAAAAGAGCACCCTAAACTCCCGAACCCATTTGCCCGACCCTGAAAGCCTGAACTCCCTCAGACAATGGAGCGTGTTCTGCAGCATATCGGTAACGGAAAATTCGGGCAATTGTAGCTACCAGATGACCATCCAGTTTGACGAGTTGTGGTAGTGGCGGTGATTTGACGCCACCCGTGTTTTACAGTCCAGGCCCAAAGGTTGTCCGCCTGTCGGACTTCACGGTTGTGTTGTACAACGGTGTATGGTGCCCGAGAACGAAAACGTACGCGGCGTAGACAGAGTCAGATTTGATTGTAGCCCAGTGATCTGGTAGCTTGAGTCGTTTGACGTATTCTGTGCACTGGAACCCTGTCCATCATGTCTGGCGAAATCAGTTGGGGGTCATCGCGAGTGGGGCACCAAACCCTGGAAGGGGAGTGTTTAACAGGGCTTAATTACCACAATCTGGACCTTTGAGGTGGTCTCTTGTGGGAGGTCCTGCTGATGGCTGGCACAAAGTGCTGAGTCTTGTTCTGTTGGTCGGCCTGGGCTCTTCGTGGTCTTGGGCTTTGACTTGGCATGCGCTGCCTTTCAAGCAAGCCCCCAAACCCGATGCATCGACATGCGCAGACTGAGCGTTTAACAGTTCTCATAAATTGCAACGTCCAAGTGTCTCGAGGAACTTCCAGGCGAAAGCACACGTGCGGCTTGTAAATCCAAACCACCAAGTGCACGTCGACAGATACTTTAAACACAAAGTAAATGAAAATGCCAATAACGATAAGGATCAAGATGTACATCAACATGGGTGTAAACATCGATTTAAGTTTACATACACGCATGTACTTCCAGGTAGTAGGATCCCCTATAAACAAAAGGACCCTAACAAGGTACCCCTAATATCGTAAGCCTCCATATCTACACACAATTTTCCTTCACATTGTCGCTGCGTTATCTGCAAGGTCACGGCGGACATGGGCTTGCATCGGGCTCGGACCAGCTTCGAGGAATACCAGCGCAGTTTCAGCAACTTCCGGTTGCCTTGCTTCACGCGCTCCTTCGACTGCGGTCATGGTTTTGGGGTTTAGGGTTTAGGGTTTAGGGTTTGGACCCAGGAAGGTCGAAGCCCGAATCGCTGCCAGATGAGGCTTGCGCGCTGTTGGCCATTAGCAATCAGAGTAGTTGCCTACGAAACCACTGTGAAGTTTAGGGTTCTGTATGAGAACCACCCTTGTCCCCCCAGTTGAAGAAGGAAGTGAGCACCTAAGCTGTGGACAGCGAGACACTTCCGCGCCCTCCCAGGTGTGGGTTTGAATCCATGGCTGCCATGCTTGAGGCGGGGTGTTTGTTCGGCAATGCTTGGGACTTTTGGGTTGCAGCTCTAGCGTTCCCAGGAACTAGCACCGGTATCCACGTTCCCTATTTTTGACGCTAATCATAATAACAATGACAATACTAAGCCCGCAACAGGAAGGCAGCACGCAAACAAGGCCTTCGGTGGACGGAATCCAGCAAATCGGCCATCACCAAGACCTTGCGCCCGAAGAACCCTGCACCCCCTCCATAGATGTAGGGCTGAGGCTGTACCTAAACCGCTCCAACTAGGACCGAGCCGACCAACGGCTTCGGCTGCTCGGGTTTAACGGGCCCCGGGCAAGTAATCCCAGTAAGTACGTGTAGAAGTTTGAGTAATGCAATATTTCAAGGCTCGTGGCTCCGGTCCAGTCCAGGAGTCCATCGGGAGTCTACTCCCCTCCCCCCCAAACCCTAAACCCTAAAACCCCCAACCAGACAATCGCCAACCCGAACCCTCAAAACCCGCCAACCCAACCCTTGAACCCGTGACATCCACCAAACAAAGGCAGAGTCGGAGGTGGCGCGGTTTGATGCCGAGGCACCGGCCGTGAGAAAAACATGCAGGTTCGAAAAACACAACAGAATACCTTAGATTCCCTGTAGTATACTATAGAATTTCATCCTGATTAGCAACCCGCAAGTCGCGCTAAATTGCAGCCCTAGCTTTGAAACAGTCTGTCGCAACCCCAAACCTTAAATCACCTAAAGACTGGAAAGCCCTTGCAGAGAACGACCTTTCAGCCCTAAAACCAAGAGACCAGGGGGGCCCGCCTTGACCTCCCTTCTCTCGAGCCGAAGCTACCCCGTAAATACTCATTCTGTTTACCTAGGCACCAATTGCATATTTTCGTTGGTTCTGTTGACAGGTTGAAGTTCCAAGAACAGCTAAGCTTTCGGGAATTTTGTTAACTACCTACCAGGAACAAGGAGACAGCCTGACAATCTGGAGTATCCCCGCCAATGTGTGTTTGGGCTTTGGGATCTGGGGTGGCGGTTGAGGTGTTTGGGGTTTGTTGTGGCCAAGGTGTTTTTGCATGCAAGTGTTCGGACGTATTTGTTTGTATCATTCTGTGTAGCACAAGCCCCTCACACTACCAAAATATGGACAAAGCGTGCCTGTGTACATATATATATGTGTATATATATATATGTATGTATGTATGTCTGTATGTATGTATGTATGTATGTATGTATGTATGTATGTATGTATGTATGTATGTATGTATGTATGTATGTATGTATGTATGTATGTATGTATGGATGTTTATGTGTTTATATGTATATGTAGTATACATGTATATGTACAGGTGTATGTGTACATATGTACATGTATGCATATATATATATATATATATGTACATTTATATATATATATATATGTATATACATATGTCTGTGTACATGTATGCTAACTACGCTTTTGCATATTCATGGTTGTACTCAGTACACCGCCAAGATATTTAATGGCTACCGCCAGTACCGCCGACCCCAGACCCAAGACAGTCGCAATGGGGCGGAAGGCAGGGTGGAGCGCGGGCAGGCCGGGGGGGCGGGGGCGGGGGGGGGGGGGGTGGGTGGGGGTGGAAAGGGGGGCGGGGGGGGTGGGGGGTGACGGTAGAGGGTTGGTGTCGGATTAGGGAGTTGGGGGCGGAAGGCAGGGGTGGACTGGGGGGCATAGAGATGAAGAAGCGATGAGAGCGGTGAGAGCGGGGGGGGCGGTCGAATGGTGCACGATGGTGGGAGGGGGTAATTATGAGGGCTGGGGAGGGTTGGTGGGAGGGTTAGGGAGTGGGAGTGGGAGAGGGTGGGGGCGGCTGGCGGAAAGGGGGGCCTGAGTCATTTGACCAGCTCTGGTGAGAGGGTTGGGGCGGAAGGCAGGGTGGAGCGCGGCGGGTGGACAGGGGAGGTGACGGTCGAGGGTTGGTGGAGTTGGGGGCGGAAGGCAGGGGAGTGATGAGAGCGGGGAGGCGGTTAGGGCGGGCGTGGATTGGAATCCCTCAAACTAGAGATTTGTCAGGGGCGGAGTAGGGGGTAGGGGCCTAGGAGGGAAGGGATGGGGGGGGTGGGGGGGGGGGGGTCAGAGTCGAGGGTGGGGGGTTGAGGGCAAAGGGTTGGTGTCAGGGAGGGGTGGACTGGGGGGCATAGGGAGGGGGAGTGATGAGAGCGGTGAGAGCGGTGAGGGCGGCGGGCATGGACTGGAACCCTTCAAACACTAGAGATTGGTCAGGGGCGGAGCGGGGTGGGGGGGGGGGGGGGGGGGGGGGGGGGGGGGGGGGGGGGGGGGGGGGGGGGGGGGGGGGGGGGGGGGGGGGGGGGGGGGGTGGCGGGGGGGGGGGGGTGGGGGGGGGGGGTGGGGGGGGGTCAAAGGTCCAATTCAAGGCGTCATGGGTGAGGGCGATGGGTGGCGGGGTTTGGGCATGCACTGAAGCCAAACAATGCAAAAACACTCCAATTCAAGGTGTCATGAGCAGCATGCTGTGAGAGCGGGTGAGGGCGGTGAGGGCGGTGGGGGGTCTTCACTGACGCCGCCCTGCTACCGCTGGGGTTGGCGGATAACCCCCCAAAACCCTAAATGGTAGGTGGCCAGGTTTGAGGGAGGTTGTTCAGGCGGACACATTATGTGAAACTGTTGCTTTGTAATGGCAAACAAGCTGTTGTGTCTTCGGCCAAGGGCCTTGTCTGGGCCAGCTACTGTACTACACAGGTGAGGGTTAGGGTTCAGTAGATGAGCCCGCCCCAACAAGCGCGGTGTTCGTGCAAGACCGTAGGCTCAGCGCGTGTTTCCGGTGGACCTGCCCGAGGCGAATTCGAAACAGCCCTTGTCGTTTGCGCTTGGGGACTTCGGATGCTCTAGGGTATTTGTGGGTCCCGGTCGAGGGGCGAATGGTTTCCAGTTGGGCAGGGTCACGGATTGGCAATCCTGAGCCTTTCCAGGGTTTCCGAGCACGTGTTGGAGTGGGGGTACTCTAGCGCAGCAAGCCGAGTGCTGAAACCTCAAGCCCCCCCCCCCCCCCCCCTGCAAGCCCAAAGCCTTCATCGGAGTTCCGGCCGCATTAGCAATGGGTTGGAAGTTTAGGGTTTAGGGTGTAGCCTACTGGAAGCACGCTGCACCGAAACCCTAAACCCTGCGACCTTCCGAAGCCTGCAAGCCCACACCCTGCCAGGACGAGTTCGCTGGCGAGGCGAGTTGTGTAATATCGAGCCCGAAACCCTAAAGTTCCTAAAGGTTCAGGAGCCAAGTTGGCATTCTGTGGTTCCGGGCCTCGGGCTGCAGCTTCGGTGATTTTTGGATGTCAGGTTGTTCAAGACTACATCCCATTCCAAAGATCTGAACTTCGCTCGAATCTCGCAAGCTGTTCACCCTAGAGCCGCTCGTCCGTGGCCTCGGTCGCACTCAACTCCAAGAAACACCGACCCTCAGGCGAAGAGACCCCTTGCCAACTTAGGCCTTGCTTGGTCATTTCAGACATCGTTTGGAACATTATACGATGAACTTCCGTCGGTCAT